ATAAAAATTATAAATTAAAAGATAAAATTTTTCAAAAAATATGTATAATTAATACAAAAGAATTTTGAATTGTTATCAAAAAAAGAATTTTGAATAAAAAATACAAAAGAATTTAAATTTTTAATTTAAATAAAAAATAACATCTATCATTCTGTAAAAAAAATTATAAAAATTTAATCACTATTAAAATGAATGATTATTCAGTGACCATCTAACTCTTGTATCGTAAAAAGATGTTAGCACTTAAGTATTTTAGAGACTATTTTAATGTTTCCCACTATTTTTTGCATGAAAATTTATTAAGCCTCTTAATAGTGTTTATTATTATGTCTATTGGGAGGGAAAACATTTAATATTTGAAATCCAAACTATTTAAATTTGAATTTTAAACTTGATTGGTATTGGAAGAGTTCAGCATTTAATGTTTCTGCAGTGGGAAAAAATATATAATAAATTTAAATATAATATAAAATTATAGATTAAATGAAAATATTTAAAATTATAAAAATATATGTAGAGCTGATAAAAAATAATTTAAATTTGAAATTTAACTACAAAAAAGTAGAAGTATTTGATATACCTATTACGAATAAGTCTAATTGCTGATGTTAATACTGAGTTGTCAAATCCATTAATAAGAATGGGAAATAGTTAATCCTAAGATGAATGAGATATGAATGGAATTCTTATAAAAATGGGAGTTGCCAATGCTCATAATTATAATATGGAAAACTAGATAATTATACGAGATATAGAATTTAAAAACACAAATAAATGAAAAACATTTTATTTTAATTCGAAATTTAAAATATTTAAAAAAAATAGTTAGTGCGAAAAGAGTTCAGTATTAATCAGTGTTTAAAAACCCGGTCCGGCCATCGACCGGCCTGGGTCAGGGGTGACGGGTTCACGGATTCAACCGGGGGGTCATGGGGTCACTACGCTGACCCGATTTTATATATTTAAAAAATATAAATATATATCCTATATGAAAATATTAAAAACAAACGATCAAATATTAAAGATTCAAAATATACTTAACATAATTTATCAATTACAACTACAAGTCAATATTACACAACCTAATTAAAGTACCAATATACCAAAGTACAAAACTCATATTCTAATTGGGTCACTACGTTGACCCGGTTCTGTCTTGTTTGAGAAGATCCCTGATAAAGGAAAATTCAAAGGAAGTAAGAATAAATTTTTGTTTTCCATCGACGACTGTAAGGTTTTCTTTTGACTGGATAAAATTCTTACCTTTTCTAGAAGATTCTCGGCAGCATGGTGAAGATTGAAGACGTCTAGGTCGCTAGGAGAGAAGAGAATGATTAGATTTAGGTTTGCAAGCATTTTTGTTTTATTTTTTTAATAAAAAAATTTTGTTTCGTGAAATTTGTTTTCTAAAAAAAAACACGCAGTGACCCCCTTTGACCCCTCTGACTCGGGAGTCACTGAAATCCGGCCGGGTTTTGAGGGTCAGAGGGTTGATATGCATATAGGGTCCAACTTGTGACCCCAACCCTCTGAGGGGTCAGGGTTGACCCGGGTCAACCCGGGGGGTGGGGTGGGGTTTTAAAACACTGGTATTAATTAGTGGCAGGCAGATGCATTAATATCCCACTTCTTTTTTAAAATTTGAAATTTGAAGTTGATACAGGTGGAAAAATAGTTTAACATCTTTTAGAGGGAGACAGTTGTATTAAATTACCATTATTTTTCACATGGGAATTAGTTGCAAACAAGTGCATTAATATTCTACTTCTTTTTTAAAATTTGAAATTTCAAGTTGATATAGGTGGGAAAATAATTTAACATCTTTTAGTGGGAGACAACTGTATTAAATTACCATTATTTTTTACATTGGAATTGTTAACCCTCATTTTAAAAAACATTGAATGTTTTTTTTCATAACTATCAAAATACCAAAAGACCCCAAGAAAACCAACAGATGTTTAGAAAACATGTAAGTAAAAAATGTGTGTAATCTTAATTATATTGATGATGTCTTTATGTTTCCTTTGTAGTTTTAAATTATGATTTTTTTAAAAAAATAAACAAACATATTGAATGAAATTTGAAAAGGCAAAAAAGGTCATTAGTCATGCCATTGATGTAAATACATTAAAAAACCGAGATGATTAAAAAACGATGATAGTAAAAAATGTTGTAATTTCAATTTTTTGTTTTTTTTAACAAACCTAAACTAAACGAACAAGTTGAATTTTATTTGAAAAACATTAATGTAGGTCATTACTTCGTGTCATTTCAGTAATTAAATGCATTAAAAAATGAAGATAGCCAAAAAAGTCTGGTATTTTATTGCTATTAATGATGACCTTTTGTATCATTTGAAATTTTAATTTTTGACTTTTTAAACCCTAAAAAGTATTTGTAAGAAAGTGCGCTTTACAATGACTTAGAGACATACATATTCTTTATAACACATACACACAACAATAATATTTATGAGCACCAAATATATAATCGCTTGAAATATAGTGCTATATTTACCTCCATAGTCGCAGTGCTCGAAGAGACAGCTCTAAACTTGGGTAATGTATTACTTTTTAGCTTGATAAGATTGTGAATTGTATTGAAAAATTTTATAAGGAATTGAATGTTTCTGCAGTGGGAGAGTATTGTGTTTTAGCATTTAATGCTTCTGCAGCAGAAAAAATAAATAAATATATATATATATATATATATATATATAAATTTAAATGTAATATAAAATTATAAATTAAATGTAATATAAAATTATAAATTAAATGAAAATATATTTAAAATTATTAAAAAATATGAAAAGTTGATAAAGAGTAATTTAAATTTGAAATTTAACTACAAAAAAGAATGACTTAAATATACTTTAAAAGAAAATATATTAAAAATTTAACTTAAAAAAATAATACAAAAAGAAAAAGAAAATTCATACAAGTATTTTTTTTAACATGACCGTTTTAAATATATATGTATAATCAATATAAAAATTATAAATTTAAAAATAAAAAATAATTTTTCAAAATATATGTATAATTAATACAAAATCATTGGATACTAAAAAAAAATACAAAATAATAAAAAAAATTTATTTAAATAAAAAAATGACATCTATAATTCTGTAAAAAATGAATTATAAAAATTTAATAACTATAAAAATAAATGATTCTGAAAGAGAATAAAAAAAGTCGTATAAGTATTTTTCTAAAAAAATATTTAACATAAATGTTTTAAATATATGTGTATAACCAATATAAAAATTATAAATTAAAAGATAAAAAAATTAATTTTGCAAAATATAAGTAAAATCAATATAATAGAGTTCAAATTTTTAATTTAAATAAAAAATGACATTTATCATTCGGTATAAAATAAATTAATTATCACTGTAAAAATGAATGACCATTCAGTGATGAGTGACCATCTAACTCCTGCATTGAAAAAAAAAAAGATGTTTGCAATTAAGTATTTTACAGACTATTTTAATGTTTTTCACTACTTTCTGCATGAAAAATTGATAAGCCTATTAAAAATGTTTATTATTATGTCTATTGGATGGGAAAATATTTAATATTTAAAACTCAAATTTTTTAAATTTAAATTTGAACTTGATAGGTAGGAAAATAGTTCAGTATTTAATATTTCTACAGTAAAAAATATATATAATAAATTAAAATTTAATTTAAAATTACATATTAAATGAAAAAAATATTGTTGAATCAATGAAAAGTATTGAAGACTAACATAGAGGAGAAGGTTTATTTTCTACTCTATTCACAGTTGTTATTTTTTTACAACATATTTTTTTTCATATTTTTTTCTTTTGCCTTTGTAGGGTGCTGTTCAATGTGCTGGATAATAGCACAAGAACTTCGACTCATTTTTTGATCATTTCTATTTGGTAAGACAATATGCATCTCATCACTGTTGCTGTTACATGGATTGCTGTATATGAAGATATCTTATTATTGATTAAGTTCATCCATGACTGTAATAATTGTTCTGGATAGTATTGAGCGCAAGAACTTTTCCTCAATTTTCGATGATTTCTCTTTGGTAATCTGCATCTCATATTCTCATCACTTTTGATGCTGTATGCATTGGTGTATATGAAAATAATTAATTATAGAGTACATAACTATTTTTTATTTGCATAAAATACTGACACGGTTCTTTCTTTTAGCGATTAACCAATGACGGATGCCGACAAATTTTTTGATCTTTTTCCTCTATGCATCGCACATGTACTGTACTAGTTACCTATCTAATCAGTATTAGATAAGAGAGAATGCTGAAAAGTTTATTAAGAGAGAGAAAATGCTGATCAAATGGTAATTAATTAGATATGTAGTGAATTTTTTTGATAGTAAGAATATCCTCCTCCATTATTATTTTTCTAACAATTTAAAAATAAAAAATTATTAAAATAAGCTACATCAGAAGCATTTTTTTTTTAAAATAAAACAAACATATCAACATGAATCTTTCTAAAAAATATAGGATAATAATTATGACTACAAATGTAAATAGGCTAGATCATACTAAGTTTTATTCTAAATAAATTAGACGTATTAACCTAGGGTGAATTATAAACTTAACTTATATGTTAAAAACAAAAGGCTTAACCTATGCTTATAAGTCTTTTTAAGCATATGAAGCCTTTAATATTTATTAAAAATTAGAAAATATATAATTTTTTTATTAATTAAAATTATTTAAATAATTATTTTAATTAAATTAAATAATAAAATACAAGCTGCCCGTAGGCTTATAGGTAGGTCGGGTCTTGTAAAAAAGACCTATCACCTAATTTCTAAACGAACTTTCTTCTAAAACCTGAACCTATTATATTTTATTAAATATATTAAGTAGTAGTTCGGGCGTAAGCTGCTAACAGGCCATTTGAAAAAATCACGGATTAACTCTGCTTATTTCAGTCAATACTGATTCACTTGTCTAAGTTGTCTTGAGTTGAAAAGTCTACTTTGAAAGGCAACAATATGATCCGTAATCAAATATGTAACAATGTTTCACTTGTGGTAAAGTAAAGCTGGACATGGCACGGTAAAGAGTCACGTTATCATTCATGTGTGCTTTATATATATAAAATCAAAGTTCATGATGACTTCAGGCACCAGGAGTTCAAGTGTAAAACCCGTAGGTCTTGGCATTGAGTATGATTTGCCTTAATCCACCGATTGGTGACAGAACCATCAGCAGGACTCCAAGTATAATGCAGATCTGAAAACAGAGAAGCCTATTAGGTAAAGTGGTAAACTAAGTTTCAATCTCAAAAGCTATCGAATAAAATATAGCAAGAAGCATGACCCAGTTGAACATACCCAGTTGGTGATCCATGATATGCTGAACTTCCTAGGTTTGTATATAGTGAGCCACATAATGCAGGGGAGCTAAACAATTATATTATGTCAAAAAATATAGTCAGTGAGTGATATACATCATAAATGACAGGACAAGATTTTTTGATATTGGTATTTTAGTTTGATATCAAATCTTAACCGTTGATTTCCATGAATCTAACGATTATAATTTATTGAGTCACACTCATTAATTAATTATTAATTTTCAATAAATTATAACCGTTAGATTGACAGAAATCAACGATTAAGATTTGATGTCAAATTACAAATCTCAACGAATCCTGTCCCTAAATGACAATTATATGCAAAAAGGAATTTCAGTGGCTTACAAAATATGTTGTTGGAGCAAATGCCAACCCTCCAAAAAATCCAAGGAGGGCACCAAAGAAGGGGAATGTAATGCCCATAAACATTGTGAAAGCTGAATCAAAATATTTATTATAAAGAGGGGCAAATAATTGTGGAATTCATAAGGCACTTAATTCAAATAGGGGAATTTTTTTTACTCACCAACATAAACAGTGCGAACAACAAATCTTAGCACTCGGGTTGGTTTGAAGCGCCATTTTTTAACCATTACGGTCTCAATCATGTCAAAAACTGGCATTGCATATAGCTATGTAGACACCACCAAAGGATGAGAAAATTATAAACAAATAAATAAAAATCTTAGCTATTATTACATGATTGTAGTGATGAATTATGCAAGGGGAAATGATTTTTACACACCTGGTAGCTTCCTATAACATGGATGACAACAAACATGTTAGCTGCTACTATGAGCCAAGTTGGTTTGTTTAGAGAGATGAGGATATTATCTGCAACATCATTACCAAACATCCAATACCCAATAAGAGCAACAGGGAAGTAGCATATGGCTACAACTATATAGGCTATTAGCACTCCCTTCCACATTGGACCCTTTGATGGCTTCTCTGAGGTTGAAGGGATTGTTGCTTGAATCTCCAACACCACATTATGTCCTGCATAGGCGAAAGCAACATCACCTAAAGCACTCAGAAAACCGAAAACTGTTCCTGGTGTAGTAGTGGCTCTGTAGCCATACTGCACATTTTCTTGAACTCCCTTGTGAACTGAAGCTGTCCATGCAATGGTTGAGTAACTGCACAGGATTCAAATCCCAAACATGTTTAAATGAAGTTGAATTCAAACCAAGATAAAAATCAAGTGGGATAGAGAATTAGAGACATCCCTTCTATTAAGTCTTTCAATGTTTCTAATAGAGAGATACAAAACCAATATAACCTCACCAAACAGGCTTAAGCTCTTGAGTTGAATTAATTATTTACGGTTTCTTTTTTTAAAAAGATGTATAGTGAAACTAAATTTATTATGCAAAGTCCTAATGTGTAGACTAATCCAATATTGGGTTTGAGTCTCTCTCCACTTCACCCAGTAATATTGGAACTCTCAGAAATCGAATTCACTACCCTTTGCATAGATCAAATCTAGTAAAAAGAGAAATTATAAAGAAGATGCTTACCTCAAAGACATGACTGCTGCAGCCAAGGAGACACCGGCAATGGCATTGAAGTTGGGAAGGTGAGCAAGAACAAAGTGAACAGAGGCAAATATCATGATAAAATAACTAGTCTTCATTGGTTTGCAATGTTTATCATTGCATACCAGGTCATGAATTTTCTGCAGTGATTTTCCTCCGGTGACCATATAAACTATATCCACCCCAACTTCACATATCAATTGCTGTGGTACCACAATCCAGAGTCCTAGCTTATCACCAAAGGCATGCTGCCCCAACTCATGGTATCTGTCAAACCGTTTCCCAGGGACCATTTCATGCATCTGAACCATTTGCCACAGTGTGTACAGAGTGATTATCCATGATAGTACAAGAATAACCACACCAGGACCCCTACAATTGGAGATTAATACAGAACATAAACAAATTTTAAGTCCCAATGAACAATGATCGGAGTCAAAAAAAAATTTTTTGAAGGGAAACGAAATTGTAATGTAAATTTTTCTTTTAAAATTATAATTATTTATGGAAAAATTGTTTGTCATCTTAAATGATATAAAGTTATGTCATTTAATAATATTTTTTATTTAAAATTTAAATTAAAAAAAAATCACCTATTTTTTCCCTCATGATTTTCGTTTTTTGTTAAGAATCTTAAGGTCACCACCCCAAAAGCTAGCTCAAAGGTTGGGAGTGCCCAAGGCCTTATAAACTCAACATGAGTTGCACATACAACCACCAATGTAGGACTATATATCTCAACACACCCCCTCACACGAGAGCTCGCTGGGCTCGAAGAGTGGACAATGCACAAGCCCACCTACCTGTGCGAACAGACTTGAAAGAAAGTGGGGACGACGAGGATTGAACCCGGGACACGAGGCTCTGATATCATGCAAAGAACCTTGGGATATACCACCCCAAAAGCTAGCTCAAAGGGTGGGAGTGCCCAAGCTCTTATAAACTCCACATTAGTTGCACATATAACCAATGTGGGACTATATATCTCAACATTTTTTGTGTCTATCTCTCTCCTAAAATGACATAACTTATATAATTTAAAATGACAAACATTACACCCTTTATTTATACGACAAAAAAAAAAGATGATGCTTACAAATTACAACTAAAGGTTTCTATAAATTTTTAAAGGGGGCAAGCATTAAATATATGACCACAAAATTAAAGATAACGCTACCTTCTAAAGGTTTATATAAAATTGAAGAGGGTGAACACCCTCCTAGTCCCTCCCTCACTCCACTGATTAAATTAGTTATATAATATTAATATATCATCATGGTTTTGTTGTAAGAACCATGCTTGTTCCATGTACTACATAAACATAGAATAAAAGATTTGAATAATGAAAAAACAAAAACTGATATCTACAATTAGTATATGGTACTACCATCCAAGATTTGACATGGCAGATGGAAGGCTCAAGACACCAGCTCCAACCATGGCAGTGACATTGTGGAAAGCCGCGTAATACCATTTTGCGTTCCTTGAAGAAGTGATAGGAAGCCAATCATCAATTGCTTTCTCCTCTGCTGTTCTTTTGTCTATCTGTTATTCATGAAAAATAAAATAAAAATGACATATATACATCTCTTAAAAGCAAAATTCAGCAACCAAAATCCCAAAACCTATTTTTCGAAATCACCCTTTTGATCAGAAATATTAAACATAACATGTTTTATTTATTTATGTTTTACCTGTTTTACCTCAGCTGTTGAGTAAGCAATACTTTCGTCCTCTGGAGCAACATGGCTTTGATTTGTAGGAGACTCAGTTCCCATGGTCTTCAAATGCGAAGGGTATGAAATTTTGGTCTATGAAATAAGAGAATGTATAGTGTTTCTTGAGAAAACAAAGAAAGTCCGTCCCAGTACGACAGAAACAGAGCACAATTCAAGCCGGCATTTGTTTCACGTGAGTATCCGTTTTATAGAAATTCATAAACTAATTTAAAACCTTTTCCGTGCAATTTCAGGCTGGAAATGAAGTAATTATGGGTCACTGAGAGAGAAATGTCATACTTATACTTTATTTTTATTTATAACTTTTTATAATTATATTTTAATCATTAATTGGTATTTATTATGAATTAATGAATTTAATTTGCAAAAATAATAACTGTTTATCGATGGAAAAAATAATTAAGATATGATTATAAACAAAAAATTGGTTGTATATATAATTTTTCCAAAAAATCTTGAATAATTTTTTTTTTAATATACAATGGGAGCATAGAAATTTCAACCTATAACCTCATGCAACCAACCCAACCCAATCCCTCACAATTAGACCAATTCTAATTGCTTAATATTTTGAATATCAATATCTTTAGGGAAAAGTATTTTTCATTTTAAGAGAGAGATAGATACAAAATAATTTTTTTATTTAGAATTTAAATTAAAAAATACTCACTCTCTTCTCCATGATTTTCATTACTTGGGTCTATCTCTCTCTTAAAATGACATAACTTATATCATTTAAAATGACAAACATCAAACTCATATCTTTAATAACTTGCAAATTTCTTACCTACCTAAGTATCTATGTAATTATTAACCTACAAAATTATATGTGTGTTTATAGAAATTCTTGAACTGATTTAAAAGTTCTATGAGCATTTTCCAGCTGGACGGAGAAATTTTGGACCACGTGTAAAAAATTTTAATGTCAACATCGTTAAGAATTAATATCTTGTTAATTTGTTGTTTAGTCTGTGTTCGGATGTAACTAAATACATTTTTTTAATATTTTAGTTTTTTTTTCAATCAAAATATACCTTTTTTTTAAAAATTTTGTTTTAATTATATACTTAAATTTTCCTTAAATTTTTATATTTTTTTTTTTGTAATTTGAATACTTTTTAACGTATCTATATTCTCAAAGTTTTATCTAAATTAATTATGTAATTTTTTTTTTAATATTCATTTTTAAAAAAATTTCAATTAGATTTTTTTAGATAATTGCATAGAAAAATGTTCTCTATTATATTCAAATTATTTCTGAACACTTTTTTTTAGTACATATTTCTGAACACTTTAATGTACTTTATGTAATTTATATATATAAATTATTTGACCAGAATCATAAATAATGATAATTTCAGATTTATTCTGATTGAATCCTTGCAAATAAGGATAAATAAAAATAAATAAAAGAATACTAATTCTACACGAACCACGAATGAAAATCGCAATAATGAAATGGTATATGAGTTTTTGCTGAAATAGAAAAATAATAAGTTGTATTGAATTCATGTTAATATTTTTTAAATTTTACTTAAATTTAAAAGTATGGATATAATTTAAGATTTGTTATATAAATGGTTTATGAATAAGAAGTTGGAAGATTCACGTCTTTTTGTTTTCGAAAAGTTATGTATTTTCATTTGCAAATAGTTGCATCTCTTCGTTTATGAATAGTCGCATCTATTGATTTTCAACTGTTGTATCTCTTTGATTCCAAAAAGTAGTGCCTCTTTTTGTGTGACTATTCATCTCTTATACATATATGAGTGGTTAGTGAATTCTAATAACTAAGTTTTTTGATTTCTTATCAAAATTCTGCCAACATTAACCCTCATATATTGACTTGGTCTGAGATTGATCAACATTCATTGTGTTTGTCGTTGTTGTTTCTTCTGGTTATCCAACCGTCAAAACAAATATAAAATTATTTTATCTTAAAAGACATTTGTTCACGGACCTTAAGCATCGTTGAGAGGGAAAAATTACTTTAAGAACGTAATATCTAATACTGGGTCAGGTTTAATTTTTTGCAATTGTTTTGTACATTGCAGATTGCATTCTGTTTTTCGGTGATTAAATACAATTCTGTGTCTTCACCGATATCTCCCAAACAAGTAATACAGATTTTCTCACTACCACCACTAATAAGATGTATATTCTTTTAGTTGAAACTATAGAAGAGATATTTATTAGTTCGCCTTCAAAATTATGGAAATGTCATGCAGCCCTAAGGACGGACTGTTACTGTCTTTTACATAGTTACATGCTATTCGATATGCAAGAATGTTATTAATATTTTTTTTTTGAATTTTTTAAATATAAAATTTTATTTTTTTAGTAAACGAAAAAATAATTTAAAGTTATTGCCTATTAAACAGAAATAGTTGAGAATAGAGCTCAATCAAGATTAATATATGCGGAAGTTTCAGGCTTTTTGAATATTGTAGCCTTTATTTAATAATTAATTATCAAATTGACCTTGACTATTCGGGTAGAGAAAAAATTTAAAAAAATACCCGGGTAGGGAGAGGGCTACCCGGGTAGGCTTGATGGTAAACGGTCAAACATGGACAGATTGGTGTTATGTTTTCTGGAGAGATTAAATTTTTGAAATAGTTTATAATCAAAGTCAATATGATAATAAATTATTGAATAGGGACTACACTGGTCAAAATGCCGGAAGGTTCAACTAGCTCTGCCTATCTTCATTTGCTAATTTTGTTAAATATATACATGAAGATTTTTATACTTAATTTATTAAATAAATTTATAATTTTTTAAATATTAGCATGATAAATTTATTTAATAAATTTAGTATAAAATCTTACCTAATAATAAAAGATATAAAAAAAAACTTGTTATCAATATTTATCTTCATACAAATAAAAGGTTACCGACTTGTACTATTGTTGATTCTATTCTCCGATATGTACCATCTTGTAGGTGTCCCAATTTGCCTTGATATTGAATTAAATGAACATTGTAAAATTATAATGTCTTGTGCAGCTGTACATGTATCTTGAACTGCTGTCGTTTTACGGAATCAGATCCCTTTGAACACTTTGCTCAGAGCGAAGACTGTAATTCCAATGCCGCAGCATAGAGAAAGTTATTGCTCTGTCTGATCAACCAATTAGATGGCTTATTGTTCTCTAGCTTTGTAATGTCTACACAGCTTAACAAGGGAGTCAATGCTTCTTCTTCTTCTTTCTTTTTTTCCAAGTATGTTGCCATCCATTTAGATGAGATTAATTTTCTTGGGGGTATTGAGCATGAATGTTTTTAACATTGCCCAAAGACTTATGCTATTTTTAATAGGTAGATAATTGATGCTATATGCTCTGCATTTTTCATGATAGAGTGAGAAATTCAGTATGTGCTTGGTAAGATTAAAATTAGTGTACTAGGAATGTGAAAAACTAACCAAGAATTACTGGACAAGAAATATCTATAATTTTGACTTTATATGCCAAAATTTATAAAATTAAAGGGTTTTGTTAAGGAGTGCCTTCTGTTTGGTTCAAGTGAAAATTTTAGTTCACCGGAAAAATGTAATTACTAGGGATCTACAGGGAAAGTGAATTAGATAGGAAAGTTAAAAAAAAAATTGTTTTGTTGGACCAAATATTACCAGGCAAATTGATTAAAGCTTTTGAAATCTTGTCTGGTTGAGAATAAAATATTGAAGGATAAATGGTATAAAATTACAAATATAACCCCATAAAGAAAGTGAAACCTTGGTGCTTTAGATGAGGGTATTTAGGTCTGCTAGTAAGTTGCTCTTTTGTCATTTAACCAGCTAAATGTAAAATACCACATGCAAATTGTCTTTCCAAATAGTAACTTTTGCTTGCTTTCTACAAACAAATAAGGAATGCTACGCAAATACAACACATAGGAAAATTTCATAAAACTATCTACCAAACATTGTTTTCTTACTTTGTCAATTTGATTTGCATAGATAAATTTTGAGAAATCTTCAACCAAACATCAGCTAAAGGTATTATGTACGAAACATTTAATATATTTTATTAAATACTTATATGGCAATATGAGTATGCCAGAGAAAAAATTATTTCCAATTAACCCATCAAATCGTGAAATCCACCAAAAGAGAGAGAAAAAAAAACACAAACAAATCGTGAAATCCACCAAGAAGAGAGAGAGAGAGAAAAATAACACAATATTTTGATAGGTGACGGAGAAAATTTTTTCCTCCAACAAGAGGATATTTCCCTTTGTTTATAATTACTTCGAAAAACATGTCTTGAATTTTTTTATACTTAATGTAATAAATGCATTATTTTTATTTAATATTATATATATTTTGTTAATCAATATTAGGGGCACTAGTTGAAAACTACCTTTAAATAACTAAAAGTATGTGAATAAATGAATGATATTTTTTTTATTTGATTTGTTTTTTTTTTTCATTTATCACATACATGAAATACAAAATAATCTTAAACTAGGATGAAACCTTATATGTCAGGTCGGTTAAGTTTATACATCAAAGAATCATGTTGAGGTTGTCAAAATCGCGTGGAAGTTTCGTAGGATCGCACGATCCTACGATTTTTGTCCTTCGAACGAGCTGAATCGCATGTAGGATCGCTTTTTTCTCAGGTCTGTTGGGATCGACGGGCAAACACGTAGAATCGGTAAGATCGAACGATTTAACGGTTCCGGCGATTCAAGGGAAGAAACCCAGATTGACAGGAAAAAGAGTGAGAGAAAAAAAACACAGTACACACCCACCGATTACAGAGAACCCAAACCCACTTGGCCTTTGACCCATTTCACTCAAACGCAGCAATAGAAACCCCTTTACCTTTGATTGAGTTGCTCTTCGGGATTACATCCTTTCTCCTTCGAACCCCATCGAGTTCATGAAAGGAGGCTGGTTTAGTAGGTGCTTCGAACCCATTTTCCTCGTCGGACCTTCGAAGCAAGCCGCTGTTGGTGCTTGCAGAAATCCCTGTTCGTCGTCAATAGAGGTCCACCCTTGCCACCGAGCAAGAGGAGAAAGACTTGTTCATTTTTTGAAATCTCATCCTGGTCCCGTCGTGGCTTACTCTGCACGCGTTTGGCAAGAGGAGGAATACGATTTTTTTTCAAAGAGAGAAGAAGAGTAATCTTATCTCCATTTTAATCTTACTTTCTTGGAAGTTGGAAGCTTTACCCTTTATCCCTGTTTTAATCTTATCTTTGCATTTTTTTTTTTATATCCATGCACTTTTTTACTTAAATTTATAAATTTTACCTTAAGCCACTTTCTTATTTTTCTTTTATTTAAATTAGCAAATTAATTTTATTATACAATTAATAAAAATTAATTGTAAAATTTATAATTTAAAGTTTTTAATTCAATTTAATAGTTATATGAATAATTACGATATTATGATACGTGTCGATGTTACGTTTTACGATTTTTTTATCCCTTTCAATTTTAAATAAGATTTCGATCTTAACAACATTCCATAAAAAAAAAAAAAATGTTTTGTTATTTCCGAAAGCAAAAACTTATCAATATATGAAAGATAAACACGTTTCTGATAAGATTCATTGCTATGCTTAACCATAACATTTAACACTGTTCTCATCTTCTAGGCGCGGGAACCATTAATAATGCATGCTCACTATTTACTAGTACATTAATTACAAATCCTATAAATGTCATTATTTTTTGCCTTTAATTAACTTGCTATACGTAATCATTGCTGTAATTTTCATAAACGTTTGAATCCCTAATTACTAATGTATCAAATGCAGATCCCACCAGCTCCTCCTGACCCATCATATATGGTTATTCATACCGTATTTTATTCATCTATTTGCTTATAATTCTCTTTTAATAAAAAAAATGCAATAAATAATACCTTAATATTTTGAATACAAATCGCCTCACGTCATATTTATGCAGAAAATAAAATTAATTCCAAGCAATTATTGAAGTCCAAGAAAAATAAGAAATTGAACATAATGTTTTTACTAAATATCGGAAAGAAATATATTTGCATTTCAAATAAAATAAAATACAAATGGAGACATTTTTCACAAAAACATGCCATATATTTTGGTGCATAGTAAAAAATGTGTAAAGAATTAGAAAAAGAAATATTTAATGTGGGTTGCAGCTAGCTAGCTATAACAGTATTGAAAAAAAAAATGTTCGGTTGTGATTAATTTAAATGATTGCATTGAAGAATGAGAAATGATTCAGAAATTGAATGTGGAATCAACATTATTGCATGTGTTGAGATATATAGTCTCACATTAGTTGTTTGAGCAACTAATGTGGAGTTTATAAGGCTTTGGACACTCTTACCCCTTGAGCTAGCTTTTTGGGTGGTGTATCTCAAAGTTTCTTTACATGGTATCAGAGCCTCACCGTTGGGCCTGTGCATAATCCACGCTTCTGGCCCAAAGGGCTCTTGCATCAGGGGGCGTGTTGAGATATATAGTCCCACATTGATTGTAGGTTGTATGAGCAACTAATGTGGCCTTTATAAGACTTTGGACACTCTCATCCCTTGAGCTAGCTTTTTAGGTAGTGTATCTCAACATGTGTTAATATTTGTTAGATCCTACATTTGGAAAGTTGCTTGTGTGTTGGGAAAGGATATGGTGATGAAGGGAAACTACGCAAGCAAGCGACTCATCTAGATGATGGATTAGAAAGAATGGAAAGTGTAGACAGACAACAGAGACCATTTCTACTGGGGTCATCATGTGTTTATTATTCCTAGTTTACTTAATCCCCAAATTAGAATCACATGAAAGTTAGATAAGAATATGAAAGAATAGAAAAAGGTGAGGATGTGGATGACATATCTTATAAAAGAAAAATAAAATAGAGAGATAGAAGTTAAGGCACATATTGAACTAGAGGTGTTCTTATGTGAACTGATAGAAACCAAATAAGTATTACACTAAACATCACAAAAGCAAAAGACAAAAGCAATATACATTCAAAATGTGAAATATGACAAAAGATGTCTAGAAATTTTCCTTTGATTTGATTTGTGTCATAATTTTCTTTTCCACTAACAGGCACAGTGTGGATGCTCCTCCACCAATATATTTCAGATTTGAAGCTAACCCAATTAACTGTATTGAGCTATCACTCATTTCTCGTATTTGCATGTGAATGTGTTTAAGAGTAGAACTTGTAAGTCTTGGCCTCAATTATGATTGTCCTCAATCCTCCAATAGGTGATAAAATCATTAATAATAGGCCAAACACAATGCAGATCTGTAATCAATGGAGCAAAATATTAAACCTGGCTTAAAATGAAACCTATTAATGGGGAGAATATTTGAAACAAAAACCAAAATTAAACATACCCAGTTACTCCACCAAGAGAAGCTGAATCTCTTTGGTTTGTAGATTGCAAGCCACATGACACAGGGGAGCTGAAAATTTAAGTAAGAATATGAAAAGTTAAGAGAAAAGGTTTTATCCTAAGGATTCTTATTGGATTAAAATTTACTAATGGTGTTGGCTTACGAAGTATGTTGTTGGAGCAAAAGCAAATCCTCCAAAAAATCCTAGGAGGCCACCGAAAAATGGGAAGGTAATACCAAGGAACATTGTGAATGCTGAAAACAAAGAGAATGATATATTTTAATGCACAGAGCTATAAAAATGCAATGAACTTGTCAAAAAACAGAGACATTTGTTTCCATTAGGAAGAGTTCACTTACCCACATACAAATTACGTACAATAAAACGAAGTGTTCTGGTAGGTTGGAAATTCAACTTCTTCACCATCACAGTTTCAATCATGTCAAACACTGGCATTGCATAAATCTACATCAACAAAAATGAGTTAATTAGTCTTGGGGGCATTGCTTTTGAACCTGAAAGAAAGGTTGTTTTGAATAAGTACAAAGAATCAGAGAAATTGAATTCCACCTGATAACTTCCAATAACATGGATGACAACAAACATGTTAGCCATTGCAATAAGCCATTTTGGATTCTCTAAAGAGATGAGGATGTTGTCTTTAACTTCATTGCCAAAGATCCAGTAACCAATAAGAGCAACTGGGAAGTAACACAAAGCCACAACTATATAGGCAATAACTACTCCTCTCCACATAGGACCCTTGGATGGCTTTTCTGGTGTAGATGGAATTGTTGCTTGGATTTCTAGCACAACATTGTGTCCAGCATACGCAAAAGCCACATCTCCAAGGGCACTAAAGAAGTTAAAGACTTTTCCTGCTGTACTCTTAGCTTTGTAACTATAATGCACATCTTCTTGAACACCCTTATGAGCAGAAGCTGCCCAGGCAATTGTAGAGTAACTGTTGGACAATGTAAACATCAGAATCTAAGTTAACATGTTGAGGTTATGTTTCCTTGTTTATTTTCATTCAACCAGAAGACACTAAACTGGTTGAATATTGAAAAAGATAATAAAAGAATGTTATAGATTAAAATTAAAATTATGATTTGTACCTCAAAGACATGACTGCTGCTGCCAAAGATACACCAGAAATGGAGTTGAAGTTGGGTAGGTGAGACAGTACAAAGTGAACAGAGGCAAAAATCATAATGAAAAAGGTCAATTTGATCTTTTTGCAGCTGGAACACACGGTGTCATGGAACTTCTGCAATGATTTTCCCCCAGTGACCATATATACAATGTTCACCCCAATTTCAACCACAAGTTGTTGAGGCACCACAATATAAAGACCAAGCTTTTCACCAAAAGCATACTGACCCAGTTCATGGTATCTATCAAAACGTTTCCCCGGAACCATTTCATGCATCTCAACCATTTGCCATAGGGTGTATAAGGTGATGATCCATGAAAGGACTAGTACAGTCACACCAGGACCCCTGAAGAAGGCATTGTGATTCTCAAATCAACAAACACATAGTAAACAAAAATGAACCCCAAGAAGCATTGTTACTTAGAAATATTTCTAGTACTGTATCCAACTCACTCAATTAATGTACTAAAAGTTTTATAAAATTCAGAATATATGCAGTAAGCTTCTTTTTTCTTTTATACATGAATATCTTTAACAAGGAAAAGGTAAAATGGACGTTGGGTTTAAAAGATATATATACCATCCAAGCTCAGACATGGCATAAGGGAGACTGAGAACACCAGCTCCAACCATGGCAGTGACATTGTGGAAAGCTGAGTACCACCATTTTGCATTCCTTGAAGAAGTAATTGGAAGCCAGGCATCAATTGCCTTCTGTCTTTCTATTTCTTCTACAGTCTGTTTCATCAACAACGACAAATAAAATGAGTACGCCAAAAAAAAGAGAGTAAATTTTTCGTGGGGGATCAAGAAAAAAGTGAAACACAGAAAAGTCTTAGTTTGGAATCTTCTTATGAATGATGGGGCACCCAGTCCAACTCTAAAGTAATGGGGGACAAGAACCAAAATGCCATATTTTGGTTTTTTTTTTTTTAAGAAACATTTTGGTATTTTAATTGTCTAAATGTCAACAAAATATCACATTAGATGACCCATTGTCGGTCCTTTGCCATATATTATTTGGAACCCTTATTTCTGTAAGGGGGCGTTTGGTTAAAGAAATTTTTTTTGAATATTAAGGAAATATAATTGATAGGGAAATGGTTGGAAAGTGAGTTAGGTAGGAAAATTAAAAAAAAAAATTGTTTGGTTGAACGAAATTTTACTGGAAAAATTGAGTTAAAAATATTGAGAACATGTTTGGTTGAGATAAAATTTTGATGGGAAAATATGACAAAATTACAAAATAACCCTTATATATAAACCTCTACGATCATCACTTTTGAAATGGTTGGGGGTATTTCAATAACAAAGAAGGCACTAACTTGTTGACTTACCCATCCAAATGCAAAAACCACCTCAAAGGTGGTATTTTGAAACAAGGTTTTTCAACACAATTTGGACACACCACAAATTTCATGGGGAAATCACTTGCCTAGACAAATTTTTCATACTCTTCTACCAAACATGGCTTCATGCAATTCCCACCTTGACATACCCATCAATCTCATATGAAACCATCTACCAAACACCCCCTAACGGATTCTTATCTGGGCAACATAGGAGCATAAAAAAACGACTCCTTAACCCATTTGGGATTTTTACCCATTTAATTTTTAAATCTGGTATTTGATTCACGAGGTATTTATCAATGGTGGTCATCGAGCGCGAGGGGATCTAGTGTCACCGAGTGCCGTTAACATCCCTCGCGTCACTCGATGACCCTCATTGGTAGCAGCATTCATTGACGCGGGGGATGGTAGCAGCACTCATTGACGCTAGGTCCCCTCGCGTCACTCGATGACCCTCATTGGTAAATACCTTGAACCAAATACCAAATTGATAAATTAAAATTTCAAAAAACCCCAATTGTTCAAAGAGCCTAAAAAAACACTATATGTTTGTTATGCTTCTTGCGGATGAGTCCTGACTATTAGAAGCATCAGGTCTTAGACATTTTCTCATGTCTTATGTCCTGGCAAAACATGACAAATTAAGAGAAAAATTTCAATGGTCTCGGATCAACATTTATTCAATAGTTCGGACCAATCAAAATTATATAACTAATGAGAAGAGAGGAAAGAGAAGAAATAAAAAATAACTTTTGTCCAAATATCACCTCTTAAATGAAAGGATCACATAAGACTTGAAGTACCAAAAAAAATTCCACAAATTGAACCGCTACAATTAACAACGGATCCTCAAATATGATATTTTAACATTTTGTTTGTGACCCATGACATTTTGAAAATTAAAATGCCAAAACATGGCATTTTTGAAAATTAAAATGCCGAAAGAAGGCATTTTGGTCTTTGTCCCAAGTAATGGGGGTGTTTACGCGTGAAAGGCGTGACAGCATAAACTTTTTGAATGGGGCACCCAATGAAAGTGTGGAACGCGGTTGCAGAGGTTCCAAACTTTTTGGAAAGCACAGTATCAAGGATAAGTTCACTGCAGCCTCCTAACGTGCTTGTCTTTATTATTATTATTTTTATATTTTGATATATTGAGAAATTGAATATACATCCTATAATATAATTTTCCACGCCCCTCAAGCTAACCCTAATGACTTTTGTCTTTTTATTCTTATCCCGACCTTTGTGGATGGAATGACTTTGACTATTGCAATCATGAACTTGGCATAATAGAGCAAATTTTGTTAGGCTCAAATTCACTATATACTGTACTAAAAAAAAAATTCAGTATATCCATTTTCTTGAATATTTTTGCTAAATTGATGTGGTTGGGAAACGATTATAATAGCTTTAGGTTATGAATATACTTGCACCTAGAAGGAGATTCTCCTTCAATTGGCTCTAAGTTAGGCAAGAATGATGAAAAAAAGGTGATGGGTCATAATAGAAATAGAAAAATATCCCAACTAGTACTGTTGGCAACTATGCCACGTGAACACTTTTTTCTTGCGTTAAAAAAGCAAATAGATATATTCAGTACTCCAGTAGGCATCTAATCTTAGTTAAAATATCAAAGCTATAGTTAAAAATAATTAATAATAATAATTTATATATTTAAAATAAGGGTTCGCTTTTTCTCCAGTTATTGCAGATAAGTTATCAGCAGTAAGTCCAATACGACATCGTTTTGGGGCAAAAATCATAGTGTTTTTGTAATTTTAATTTATTTCAGGGTTATAATAGTCTTTATATTTATAATTTTTTAAGATTTCAATATTAAAACGATGTCGTTTTGAGAATAAATGCAGATGACTTATCTGCAGTAATTGCACAAACATTTTTCCCTTAAAATAATATCTAAAAATCTCTCAATAGAAACAAATATATGTAATTAAGACTCACGTATTCGTGTGGTTGTCAGTTATTTTATTAAACTAGTTTTCATTAATCGGTGCAGAAAATTTTCCGTTTTCAAAATGGGTACTGAAATAATTACGTTCATCGAAGACCTGTGAAATTTGACTAAGAAACACCCTAAAATAATTTTTAGAAGATAAGAAAAGTGAATAAGATGACACATTGAAACGACATATACATATATTCTGGTTTAGATTCATTAATATATTTAAAAAATGTTAACATATTAGTCAAGATTATAATTACTATCTCTTTTTCTTATTGTCTCTTACTATTAACTCTTAACCGTTAATTTTCGTTAATCTAACGGTTGTAATTAATTATTAATTTTCAATAAATTATAACCGTTAGATTAATGAAAATCAACAGTTAAGATTTGATAGTAAGATATTGTAAGAAAAAGATGTAGTAACTATAATTTCTTCCTAGTCAAATATGTATTAAAAAATATATATATTAATGACCAAAGAGTGTAGCCACACATTTAAAAATAATCGGAACAATTAAATATCAAAGATAATAATATTATGTTAGTATATATGTATGAAACCATGTGAAGCCACCAAGATAATAGGCACAATTAAATACCAAGCATATTAGTATTTTGTTACTTGTTAAGAACCTATTGGAATCAGAATGAAGTTTTGGTCAAATATAGCTAAGAGCCAGGACACACCCACATGCAATTGGTACTCCTGGTCTTCTACCTAGTCTATGGTTTTTGCTTAGAACTAGAAAAACAAAAGATAACATTAAGCGAAAAGGTGTGTGCTGTCAAGTTTGCATTTAACCCTTATCACGTGTATCTTGAAGACCCTTTAACAGCTAAGACAAAAAAAAGGGTTTCCGCTATTAACGAAGGGTTAATCTTTTTTCATGTTCATATTACATGAGAAAATATTAATATCATACACACATAAAGTAGAGAAGAGAAAATAGAGAAGAGAGAAAAAATATAGAATAGGCTCTATCTTTGATTTACGTGTACAGGAGAAAAATATTTTCTCACGAGAAAATATTAACCCATTAATGAAATACCTCGTGAAAGTGTCGATATTTCCCGGCCAAAGAAAGTGGTAAGGGAACAGGAGATAGAAACCTCAACGAAGTAGTTTCAGAAAGGACAAAGAATAGGATTCTACCAAGTATTTTTCCGCTTAGTAATTTGATTTCGGGTTTGATTCTCTTTGTCTCAGAAATTGAGACTCTCCATAATCGAATCCACTACTTTAAGCATTGCAATCTTGGGATATTTTTGACACTGGACTAACAACACTATTAAGTCTTTTTAAGATTGAAATAAGGTATATTTTTGGTTTTGATTTCATGTCAGCAGAAACCAAGACAGAGTAATGAAAACCAGATGCAGATAATCAAAGATAAAATTGCTAAAGATAAAAGAGAGACAGAGAGACATACAGAATTTTTGGGATAAGAGTTAAAGTCATCTGTTGCCTGAGTTCCCATAATAACTTGAAAAGAAGTGAAGAAAGATGTTGCAACTGCTGCACAGAAGATTGCTATGAAAAATGGGCCTCGGAATGTGTCTCTGTTTGGAAGAGAAGTTCACTTTCCTATAGAGAGCGGGTCTGAGAGTTATTGAAGAACTTAAGAAGAGAAGAAACTCTTATATAGAAGTGTACGTTTACACACCCTTTTTTTTTTTTATATTCGGAAGTGTGTAGGATACTGTAACTTTATTTTAAAGAATATGTCTCTCACTGTGTAACATGATGTATCCCTGTATTGACTTTTAAACGTGGAATAGTTAGTTGCTCTCTATTATTAGCAAATTGACAAAATAAAGTCTTCGGAGATAGCCAATTGTGAAAATATGTCGCAATTTCAACTTTCAACGTATCAGCACAATCAAACTTAGCTGTGTTCTTAAAATGATGTGGAGTTTTCAATGGCGGAAAGTTCGTAGAATTAGTCGTTCACAGCCGGAGGTTTTCCGTGTTCACATTCACTCTGAATCATAAAAATAATATACGGTGATGCTAGAAAAAAAAAAATTCAGTACAATTGAAGTATTGAAAATTCAGTGTATTATATTATATTAAAGTTGAAAAAAAATTGCATTTATCTACTCATTCCTTTATAATTAATGTTTCGTGTCCATTTATTTCTACTCTTACTATGGTACTCGGGATGGTGTATGTCACGAAATCCTTTTACTAATTTAATCACGAATGACGTGTGAAAGGTATCACAGGCTAAGAGAAAGAGAAAGAAAGTGATTTGTATTGAAAACTGAATTATGAAAAACTTGAATACAGTTTACACTGACACATCCTTTTATATACATCAATACTGAAAGCTAATCTGTTGTAACCAATAAGCTAGATTTACGAAAACTAAACAAGATCAGTTAATGACAGTTAATAGTTAATATTGTTATACTTTCATTCCCTCACAAACTCATTCTTGGAGGAATGAAGAGTGAGTTTGTCTCTGAAGTCAATGAACTTGGAACTAGATATAGCCTTTGTCAAACCATCTGCAATTTGATTAACTGAGGGAATATGGTGCACAACAATAGAACCATTAAGTATTTTCTCTCGAACAAAGTATAAGTCAAGCTCAAAATGTTTTGTCCGAGAATGGAATAGAGGATTTGCAGTGAGGAGAACTGCACCTAGATTACCACAGAAGATTTGAGGAGTTTTGATAGCAACAATCTTTAACTCAGATAGTAGAGATCGAATCCAAGTTAGTTCAGCTACTGTAGCTGCTAAGCATCTGTACTCCGCCTCTGTGCTTGATCGACTAACTACAGCTTGTTTCTTTGATGACCAGGATACTAGATTCCCCCCTAGAAAGACGCAAAAACTAGAAGTTAAGCGTCTATCATCAACATCTAAACCCCAATCTGAATCACAATAAGCTACCAATTGGGGTTGAGGAGATGATTTAATGGTTAAACCAATATCAGATGTGCCATGAAGATAACGCAGAATTCGCTTGACAGCTTTCCAATGAGAGTCCAGAGGAGTATGCATAAATTGACATACTTTGTTGACTGGAAATGTGATGTCTGGACGCGATATTGTGACATATTGAAGTGTTCCTACAATGGATCGATACAGTGAAGGATTGTCAAAGGGAAGTCCATCATGTATTGAGAGTCTTGAGCTGGATACCATTGGAGTTGGCAGTGATTTGCAATCAGCAAGACCTGCTTTAGAGAGCAAATGACTAATATATTTAGATTGTGACAGATGAAGTTAGCCATTAGGTATTGACTTTGCTTCAATGCCCAGAAAATAGTGGAGAGCTCCAAGGTCTTTAAGAGAAAATACAACATTGAGAGATTGAATGAGAGATGAAATAACAGTTGTTGAAGATCCAGTGATCAGTATGTCATCAACATAGATGAGTACATAAGTGGTCGCAGAGTTTTTAAATGAAACAAACATAGAGGAATCACATTTTGTAGCATGAAATCCAAGATGGTAGAGTGTGGTGCTAAGCTTTTCAAACCAAGCTCTTGGGGCTTGTTTTAGACCATATAAAGCTTTGTCCAATCGACAAACAAGATTAAAGTTACTAGAGATGAAACCTGGTGGTTGTTCCATGAACACTTCCTCATGTAATTCACGATTGAGGAATGCATTATTGACATCAATTTGTCTTATATGCCAGCTATTGGAAATAGCAAGTGTGAGAATAATTCGAATGGTCACTGGTTTGACAACTGGACTAAACGTTTTAGCATAATCAAAGCCTTCACTCTGGTGGAATCCCTTTGCAACTAATCTTGCTTTGTATTTGAGGATTGAGCCATATGGGTTGTATTTAATACGAAAAACCCATTTGCATCCAATAGATTTTCTGCTAATAGGAAGATTCATAAGAGTCCAGGTTTTTTTTTCATGAGAGCTGCATATTCCTCCTTCATAGCATTTAACCAATGAGGTTGTGTCAGAGCTTGAGCTACATTGGTTGGTTCTAAGGATGCTCTAAAAATATGTGGCTTGAAAATTCCAGCCTTTGCTCTAGTAACCATAGAATGTTGGTAAGGCAGAGGTGCTGCTGTTGAAGGTGGTGGTGCTGAGAGCACTGCAACATAAGTTGGAGATGCTATAGGTGCTGAGTTATTAGTAGACCTGCAGGATGAACTTGAAGTAGATTGTACAGTAGGTGAATTATGATTAATAGCGTCAGTATCAATTGTAACATGTGAATCACTCAATGGATGAATAATGGGAATTATTGGAACAATATTTATAGGAGAGGAAGAAGATGAGTTTGTTGGAGGTGGATTGACTGATATGTGTTTGAAAGGGAACTAGTTTTCATCAAGATAACATGAGGAGTAATTATTATTTTTCCACTAGATGTAAGGCATTTGTAGCCTTTGTGATAGGGACTTTAGCCAAGGAAAGTACACAATGCAGATCTGTAATCAAGTTTATGGGTATTGTATGGTCTTAGGTAAGGGTAACAAGCACATCCAAATATTTTTAAAGTGTTGTAATCTGGTTGTTTTGCAAAAAGTAACTGATAAGGAGAGATATTTCCAAGATTTTGTGATGGAAGGATATTAATAATGAATGAGGCTATGATAAAAGCATCTTCCCAAAACTTTTGTGGTAAGGAGGAATTAGCTAGCATGGTTAGACCTGTTTCTACAACATGTCTATGTTTACGTTCAGGAGTGCCATTTTATTGATGGACATATAGACATGAAAGTCGATGGATAATGCCATGGGTATGAAGGAAAGGTTTGAGGGCTAAATATTCTTTTGCATTGTCAGTTTGTAAAGCTTTAAGTTTTGTGTTTAGTTGGAGTTCAGACATGGTTTTGAATTGGGCAAATATGGTTGCTTTTTGGGATCTGACACGAATTGGGTAAAGCCAAGTAAATCTGCTAAAAGCATCAACAAAACATATATAGTATCTTGAGCCATGAATACTATTTATTGGAGTTGGACCCCAAATATCAGAGTAAACAAGTTCCAAAGGACTGTTATATTCATTACTTGAACGTGAAAAGGGCGATTGGTGCATTTTGCCCATACAACAAGAACCACATATAGTTTTTGGTACATTTTGAAATGGTATTTTACATTGAGTAAGAACAGATTTTACAGTAGAAATGGAAGTATGTCCTAGTCTAATATGCCATAGCTCAAGATTGGACATTGAATGTCATTTATTTATGTCATTATTGGCTTCTGTATGAACTTGATAAGCAAAATGCTTTGGAGCTTGAATTGTTTTTGCTCCTTCGAAAGGATATAGACCATCTTTAAGTTTTCATTGGAGAAGAATCTCCTTGGTGGCCCGTGATTTAACAAAGCAACTTTTAGCATGAAACTCGAAAAATACATCATGATCTTGAGCAAATTGTGAGACACTGAGAAGATTCTTTGATAAACTAGGAACATGAAGTAAGTTGTTCAAAGGAAAAGATAATGAATTGGATGAGGAATGTAATATAGAGTGACCAACATGTTCAATTTGTATACCTGCTCCATTACCTACATGAACTGTGTCATGGCCTCTGTAAACTAATTTTGATATCAGACTGGATTCATCTAGAGTGAAGTGATTTGTTGCACTTGAATCTGGATAACAGGTAGGATCAAAAGCTGTGAAGTAATCAAATGTATCATCTTGAATTGAGAAATTAGTTTCAGCAACATTTGCTTCAAATCGAGGTCCAGATGATTCTCCACGTTCTGATCTGCTTTGCTGTTGAAAAGGACTTGGATAGGTTTGATTAAAGCTATTATAACATTCAAAAGCTATGTGACCAAATTTTCCACACACTTGGCATTGTGGTTTACCAAATTTTGTAGTGGATCTTGGTACATTTCTGCCAAAATGACCTCTGGTATTTGTTGCTCTTCCTCTGTTGAAATTGAAACCTCTACCATGATTATAGTTTTGAGTTCTTCTTATATTCATTTGAGCCATATTGGCTTGTAATCCTCCAAGATCATTCTTCTTGTGCTTCTCTATTCTTTCTTCTTGAGCCATCAACAAAGCTTCAATCTCACCAGCAGTATATGGATCTGTTTGTGAGGTAAAAGATGTGATAAAAGAATCATAGTCTTCACCAAGACCATCAAGAATCGCATCAATATGCTCTTCTGATGAAATTGGTGATCCTATTGCTGCCAGTGAATCGACAATTTTCTTGATTTTCAACAAGTAACTTGAGATTGAGGAATCTTTCTTTGTATTCCTAAGCTGAATCTTCAACTGTTTCACTTTTGCACGAGTTTGTGAAGTGAAAAATTCTTCCAATTTGTTTCATATTTAAAAAGAAGATAGACATCCTACCATTCTTGTATGAAAAGATCTGACATTGAAGCCAGTAGCCAGGACAAGAGCAATTGATCTTGTTGTTCAGCAGATTGATCAACTTCTCCATTGATAAATCTCTGTAAATTGAAGCCTTTGATTGTTGCAATAGCTTGTTGCTTCCATGGAAGGAAGTTTTCTTCATCCAGTTTGAAAGATACTGAATTGGAAAACGTATGAAGAGTCGAAGTTGTAGTCGGAGCTATGGTTGATGCAAAGTGCGCAGTGGTATTTTCGGTCTCCATGGATCAAAAGCT